CACACAGATCTCCAGTTCGTCCTGCTTATTCCCCATGCTTCGCGCATTGGTATACAGGCATTTCAGGGAAGTAATCGAGCCTGCAGGTTTCCCAGGCGGAGTGGAAGAGGACCCTCTATAATCATATCCTATCCTCGCCTCGCCACTACCATAGTCCCGCTGGATGCCATCTGACTTTGGCTGTGGTACTGATTGCCCTGTCTGTGTGTGCCCTCCCCTTCAGGAGGAAGGACAAGGGAAAGGACAAGGGAAATCTGAATATGAACAGACTGCTGTTGCCTTTTGTTACTACAAAATTATCCTGCATGCAAGACTTCCCTCTAGTGGAAAGTCCGTGAATTGCCTTTCTCTGTTAAAAGCTGTAGCATAAACATGAAAAAGCCAAGGTCAGGAGCACACCGTGCTACTGCTGAAACAACAAATGGCCAGTGCCGCAGCTTCCGGCTGAACAAATACAACCAGAACGCGCTTGGAAGCTCAAAACCGCATCCATCTTCAATGACTTACCAGCTTGCATGTAGCCTTCAGACCAGGTGACGTGTCGCTACGTAGAAGAACGTGGCTTTACCTGGTTCTCTGTTGTTCATTGCTTCCCAAAGTGCACAGACACATCGGGGGCCTGCGCACGTGCCCTGCATTTACACGTGAAAATCTGATTCCTGCATCCACCCGGTGCCAGGCGGAGGAGCTGACGTGCTCCTAGCTGAGGGGCTCATGTGGGGAGTCCGGGGATGCTAGAGCAGAGCAGGCCTGAGCGACCCCTTCCATGGTCATCCTGTGTCATCCATACATTTCCCATTAGAGCCTAGACTTTTGGAACAGGCTTATTCCTTGTGATGGGAAATTTGTCAGCTTTAGGGGACTTCGGTCTCTCTACATCTTTCTGTCTCTCCACTATGGGAAAGAGAAAGGGAGATATTCATGTATCAGCATTTATCAGCATGTACAAACAATTTCAAATATTCTATGACACTGGACAGTTAAGCTTTTACTGTACTTTATAGCAGTCTGAATCAGTCCATCGGTAGTTTATCATAAAGCCTATGTGAGGCATTTTGAAGGTTTTGCATAGATGTATTCAGATGGCATAAAGAACACTGTGCAACTGCTGCACAAATAAAACCAAGACATTATGTGCTGTAAAAGGCTGCCAAACACCTACCTCTTCTTTTGGGGATGCCAGCCAGCTGACCTGCCACAGGATCAAGTCACAAGCGTGCCCAGGGCTCCTCATTGCATAAATACCCCGTTGGGTCCTTTCTAACACCCAGCTATCAGTACTGGTAAATAACCGGTTATTGACCTGGAGTGGTTCGTGCTTCCGTATGCTGGCTCCCGTACAAGGTTCATTTGCCACCCAGCCACACACAGCGGGGTTTAGGAAGGGCTGACCTGTCTCCTTGCTCCTGCTCGTTTTGGTGCTCATCCAGTATTGCAGCCAGCCCGTCCATCCCATTAACCACCAGGTAACTCAGCCAAACCCAAGGTACTTCTGCCAGTTCATCAAGGTGAATCTGCTCCCCACAAAACCGCACCCGGAACCATCTGATCCTTGGAGGCGCGTTACTAAGCGAGGCCCCGTATTCCCAGGCAGCCCGATGTACTGATCCTGCATTTGCACATTCTCCTCCTGCATGGACAGCAAACCAAGCTGCCAGGGTGCACCCTGCCCCGTGCCCGTCTGCAACACAGGCCGAGCGTGGCCGACGGTGAGAATGCATCCCCACATTGTGCAGCATCTCCATGTGGTATCCATACAGGAGAGCCAACGTTTCTTGTTAAGGTGCAGAACCTTGTCTATCCAAGAATACAAATCTGCTAGACCTAATCAGCATGGCCTACCTGATTACAGTCAAAAGCTGTTCTCGGATTTAAAACAAATGACCACCACCAGGTAAAATACTCAAGCATAGCATAAGATCTGTAATTTATGTCTTTAACAATTTTCCTAAACTCTTCAGGTTTGAAGCAAGAATGATTTCCAAGGCTTTGCTGTATCTAGCTTTGTAGATGATCAGTGCTTCACTCCATCTACATTAGGGAATTTTCCTTATCAGAACCACTGCTAAAAACATGAACTTCACCTTAGGGTCAGGACTGGCCCGAGTTTCTTAACATAACCCAGCAATTATTTTGACCCCAGTGGACTGACGAAAGGAGAAGCCATCTCCTACATTCATTAGGCAAGAAAAGCTAGTCAGGGATGGGAAAGTGAAACAAGGAGGACTATAGCAGACACAAGCAGAACAAATAACTTCCGAGTTGAAAAATGGCAAGGAAAAGAAAGGCAAGATAGCAGTTAGAAAGAAAACAGGCGTGAAAAACAAAGATACAGAAGAAAATAACAGAGCTAGGCTACCTGAATAAATTTTGAAGTTTAATGAATTGAAAGGTGAAGCACAGTGATTCGACATACCAGCATTACTAAATATATTCTAGTGATGCACTCCTATACAGTGATTTTACACGTGTGAGAAAAAATTAACTTATAGCACATTTCCTCTGAGAAAACTTACCAGGCCTGTTAAAGCTCTGTGCCTTTTCTAATGCAATAGTCCTGGAAAGACATCGGATGCTTTCAGAGCTTTTTACACAGAAATTAAACATAACACCCCTTCCCCTTGGTTTCTGTTATTCTCCATTATCCCGTTATCCTTCCTGTCCTACCCTAATCTTTCTTTGTGATGCTGTACAGAATTGCCAGTATCTGCTATTCTAAGCAGTTTACACCTGTGATGCCAGTTCAGAAGAAAACACAGTTTGTCTTACAATTCTAAGGAGAACAGCAAAACACCCACAGAGTGAAAGGAAAATCAATTTTTGTGTTTTTACAATCCTCAAGAGAGCTCCTAGAGCTCTCTTTTTTTATACAAACCCAAAAGCATGAAGCCGTTATCCTATTTTAAGTGGCAGACCACTGGAAAGTCAGCCCAGGTATTTTTGCCAGTCCGAGTGGAAGTGTCGCCCTATCAGATGCAGAGAGCTCCACCACCACCTTTCCCCTTCCAGCTGCAGGGCTGCAGCCTTCCCTGGAAGCCCTGGATTCAGTCTCTAACAAGTTAAACGTCATCTCTACATAACGCAAAGAAAAACTGAGCTAATTAATGTCTGCCCCTCATACAGACTGATAGGGTGCAAGTCGCACAAAACCACCACATTACAGCCAACTACCTTCCCCATTTGAAATATGTTGGAAAAAGCTGTTCTCCAGCAACTAGCATGGTGAAGACATAAGATAAAAACACCTTAACCTGTATTTCTCAGGGCAGCACGTTGCCTACATGTGGACCAATGCATTAAATACTTTTGTTTTTCTCTTCAGTGTTCATGTTAAACCTTCGGTGAATGTACAAGTGCGACAAGACTTCTTTTTTGGATAAACTAATGAACATGAAATAAGTTGAAGTTTTAACAGCCATCAAATATGCAGAAATTCCAAACTGAAGGCAAGTGTGTACAAAATAATTTATTACAGCATAACATATGTTGGCATTATTTTACAGTGAATTTTCCATTCAACAATTTTGAATCTAAACAGATGACACACAAAGGAGACATTTTTAATTAGAACAGTTTATTTGTTTTAATAAAATCCCCTCTCCATGAATTTATATTTGCCTTAGAGGAGCTAGTTAATATTACTGAAATTATTTACATTGCAGTGAAATAAAAACAAACTGACTGAATGACTCCATTACAGTTTCCAGAAACTGATTTTCTGTACAAGCCACAGTATAGTTATGTTTTGATAGCAGTTCTTATAGAATGTAAAGCTGTCATATGTAGCCATTTTGTCCAGCACTATTATGCTTTAAAAAGCTATATTAGATTCAGACTTTCATTTTGATGTGTTGTACATTTAATAGTTAATGCACCTTAATACAGAGTAAGAAAAGGTTCCTTATGATTCGCAGTCGGCCTCTTTGTGCTCCCTTAAATAGTTTTTAAATATAAAACACACTCCTTGTATACTATTTGCTTTGCAGCACCTAAAGCAATAGTATTCAGGCAAGAGAAGTTCTAGATTCTTGGCCATAAGTCCACAGCTAAGACTTTCAATGGAGGTAATACAGTAAACTCACCAGTGAATTTAGGATGTACAGAGGAACCGTATTCCCCATTACTGTACCTTATGCACCTGCCCAAAACTGGAGTAGCTTTTTCAAAGCAAGTGTCACTACATGAACAGATGGGGAGATAGCAAAGGGAAGAGAAGGAAAACAAGATGAAAAAAAGGGCAGACAACAGCATCAAATTCACTGCATTTTCTGTGAAATGCTTGACAAAATTCAAACTTAAAAGTTAAACTGCCCATAAACTTAAGGAAACAATAACTATGGAACACAAGGTAGAGAATATAGTTTTCAAAAAACTTGGGTTTTACGCAAACCTAATCTTCATATCCACCAACACTGGTTCCATGTAAGACACACAACTGAAAAACATGCAAACTGCCAGCGCTTTTATTGCCACTGTGCTTTAAAAGAAACCAAACTGACCAAAGAAAAATAATCTATAAAAAAGAAAAAGAGAGAAAGTAAAAGATGAAAGGGTAATTCAAGCAGCACTTCAGTCTTAACCTGCTAAAAATGCTCTGATGATGATTTTATTAAGAAGATATCATCACATGTATATGTATACATAGCAACACTTAGGTGAAAGCAGTCTTTAACATCCATAAATCTTTTTCTGTGGGAGAAGGCTGATGAAATATTAAAAGACTTACAACTGTACAAGTATAAACATGAAAAATGCTGATTAAGGATGTTTACATAAATATTGGCAGTTTTCTGTTGGGAGAAAAAAATAACAATCTAATAGCATACTCCATTTCATTTAGCTACCCAAACATTTCATTTTATACTCGTCAAAGACATTTTAATACAACCTGGAGAAGTAACCCTGATGTGTACCTAGCCAGTCTGCATGTAATGAGCCAGTTTTGCATGTTGGTGTGCACGGAGACGCGGGCAGGGGCGCGGAGAGGTGCCCACGCGCCCTCAGACCTCATTGGAGAGCACGTCGTGGTTGAGGGCCGTGTGGTTCACGGGTGCAATGCTGCTGTCCTCCTCGTTTGTGGCAGGCATGAAGGCAGATGTGAAAGGAAACAGTTTATGACATGCTGCTTGGTATTCTTCACATTGAGTGGGGCAGCTCCCAAAGCTGCCGTCAAGCAGCGCCTCAGAAACCTTTGTTAATGTCTAAGGAAACAAAAGGAAGAGCTAATAAATGCAAATTAAAATTATCTTATTATCAGAAATAAGAGCCAAAAACTGGCATGAGCAAATTCAGGTGCTCTGTTGGTATTTAGATATCATAGTTACTTACAGAAAAACAAAATTTAATAGAATTGTTCATGCAAATAATACTAACATCACTCAAAGGCCATGTACTTAAGTACACACTATTTAAGATCATATATACATTTTGTTCTAAATATAACTGTCTTTACCTTCACATTTTTGTCTCTCATATTTTTATCCAATCTTGTAGCAATAGCAATTGCTTTTTCTTGTCTTGATTTGTCCAGGAAATACATCATTTTTGCACCTATCACAAGAAAGGAAACAGCACTGAGATAGTAGCACTGCTAAATATGACACTGCACATACACACATGGAATCTGAAAAATCATACATGAATGCAAATTAAGACTTTTTTGATGCATCTTTTCCTCCCTTATTATTTTAAATTAAGGTAATTAAAAGTCATTCTGTAGTTTCCTACTAGAGTAACACAAGAATCTGCTGCTGCAAAAGCAAAAAGGCTCACTTTACTGATGACATGGTCAAAACATTAAGGAAATAAATGTAAAGAGTATGTTGATTACTGAGCCCTTTAAACCAGCTAGCAAAATGAAATCCAGCCTACAAATCAGGAAGCCATTAAAAGACATTTTCCCAGAAGTGCTCTAAATTCTTTTGAAAAGTCCTGGAGTTAAGTGAACTCATCACTGAGATCCAATCGTGTATTAATTGACAGGCAGCGGGAACAAATGGGGACTAGAGTTTTAGTGAAAATCAGGAAGGAACTAACCCCAGAGCAAGGGGCTGTTACACGCTTATGTCCCTCATCTCCACTGAACGTGAGCAGCCCCTGGTGTCACCAACATGGGTGCCACCACTGCCCATGGCTAGTTTGAGCTCTTCCCCAAAGCATTACAGATTTAACCAGTGTGAAGCCAAATTTCTAAGAATTTGAACAGCCTTAAACCTGTACAATTTCTACAACATAGTGTGCATTTTTCCATAGTAACACAGTATAGGAAGTTAGAACCTGGAAAACAGCCAGCCAGCTAAACGTCTAACTTTATTATGCCGGAGAAGATAACAAAAGAAACCAAGTAGAACACACCCGTAAGAATCAAGGAGCAACTACCTGCTGAGGTGTCTGTATCTGACTTGACCAATCCCCAATTTCAGAGGAAAGGGGCACAAGGATTTTTCATCCAGGTGCTGTCTTGGAGCAGCACACCTGGAATCTTTTTAACAGGTTTTGCCTGTTTGGGGTAGGAGATCTAAGCCTCTTCCAAGATAAACAATCCTTGGGAGCTAACTTTTCCTAGTAATTCTAGATGAAGCCCAGGTAGCTTTTACAAACCTTAGTGAGCTTTGTGCTACTGCAGGCAGTCTAAGTGACTGATAAATACAAAGCTTTTTTCTTGCTTCCCAGCTGTAGAGTGGCATTTTTTTCTACCACCTTCTCAGCTGACATAACTTTTATTCAATTCTAACTTCCTTTCAATCAATTCCAAGAGCTCTTCATAGCTCTTTTAAACAAGAAGCACAAGTGCATTTTATTTCCATTTTTCATTATTGTCTACAGAGTAGAAAACCAAAGATCAAGTAATAAGTTTGCCATTACATTTTTATTCATGCTATTGCTACATGACAAAGGCATGATCAGGAACAGAAACATCCCAGCTGATCAGGCAAAAGCATTGCTTATTATAACAAAAATCTTTTGTGTCAGAAGGGTTAAACATTTACAATTTATATTTTCTAATTATTTCAATACTGGAAGCTTCAACAGGAGGGAAGATGGTGCTTCTATAGTTGATTACTTGTAGTGATTTGGTAGTTTAATCATGCTTTTTGGAGTCAAGAGGTAGGTTCCTTATGCAGCTAATTAAAAAGAATATTTTAACATGGTAAAAACATACAGAAAAAAGCAAATCAGCAGCTCTAGCTCATTCCAGTTTATGTATGATGTATGATTGTTAAGTGTAGAGAAGATACACATTTGAATCACTTAATCTAATTTTCAAGAGCATTAAAATATTAAACAAACCTGACAGCTGGTGCTGAATGGAGGTAGCATTGTGTTTGAGAAACTCTTCATTAAAACTTTCCAAGTTTTTATTAACAAAAATTTTCTGCATTTCTTGAGTTAGGACCTTGTTCACAATTTCAGGGAGGTTACTATGATCAGATACTAGAAGAGATAATTTAAGAAGGAGAGAAAAAAAGACATTTAAATGACATCAGAAAACAATGAAATAATCACTGCTAAAATACTTTTTTTCTGAGCTTGTATGCAGAAGCAAAAGTGAGAGTTCAAAGTAGGGTTAATGTCAACAAGTTTTGCTGTGTGGAATAACATCAAATTGATGTTTGATTCTGATTCTATACACACACACATGAACAAAAAGAATATTATTCAAAAATATATATACCTACACAGAGGAAAAACATGCTGCTATTCAGAGTGATTTTATTTAAAAATCACCTATTTTGGAATGAAGTCAGCAAGAAATATACTGCCATCTTACTTTAACTCTGTCTCATGTGCCGATTTTATTATTTTCCTAAGAAAAATCTTGAAGGCTTTAAATCTAAACTGATTCATGTTACCAAATAAAGCAAAAGATTTGCTAATGCTTCCTCAGAGCACACAGGGTACTACATTTAAACAATTATAATCTTTAGAGTGCTTGCTCATTTTCTATGTAGTTTTTTTTCTATGTCACAACAATTAGTAACAAACTTCTAAAAGTCTAATTGCATTTAACATACAGGAGGACAAGCATTTATGGAATTACACTGGTTTAAGTCCTTAAATACACACAGATGGAGATAAAGCAGTCATAGTAGCTGTCACACAGGTTTTGTTACCTAACAAGTTCATAATGCATGCTTGGCTTCAGTCAGAATCTTTCTCCCATATCAGCCTTTCTTAAAACTTGTTAAAGCTCAAAGGAGCTTAGAAACCCCTATTCCTCTGGAAATACAAAGTATGAACACTAGGAATTATCTACCACCTGCTGGATTAGTGGAGGAACATACATGGGACATTGCATAGCACACCCACTATTTTTTTAGTAAGTACCTAAAAAATCATATATTTTTACCTGTCTGCCTGTAAGCTTGTTTTTGAAGAGTATTTCTGCATTAAGTAACACCTAGTTATGTCCCTGAACATATTTCACTTTTCATATTCCTATATATACACACACACATACATATTACCTACAAACATACCAGCTTTAGAGAATTTAATCAAGCATTCGTGTAGCCACGGGTTATTGCTGTTGATAGCAAAAGCTCTTTTGACAGACTGTAGCATTAACAGAAACTTTCCTGTGAGAAGGGAAAACAAAAATCATACTGAGAGACTAAGCATACATAACTACTTACAACTCTGTACTATTTTATTTAGCAAATCTAGCACAAACATTAGAAACATCAAGGCCTCCACAGAGCTGGAAAGATGCACTTTTACAATCCAAAATACTTAACGGAATTCTCTACTGCTCAAACTGTATAGCAACGCTGCATAAGTAACATTTTGTTTTTGTTGTTGTTGTTTTCCTAGATGCTTAAATCCACCCTAAAAGTAAATATTGCTTCCTACAGCATTTATCAGTACATATTACCAAATTGCTTTACCCTTAGTTTTTTTAAGTAACCTATTGGTGGCTTAACAAAAACAATCTGTCATTGTGAGTTTTCCCAAATACCCCCTCTATTAATGTTTGATATGATTCAAGTCTTTGCTTCAGTCAGCAAAGGAAGTATCCATTCAAAGCATCAATTTTAAACTAAAGCTCTAAAATACAAGCTGCCTTGAAGAATTAAAAGTCTGTAGAGTGAAAAATAAAACTATGAAATACTTTACCTTTTCTAAAGTATATTTCAAATGCTAATAAATGTGTGTCTATGTTATCTCCAATAAGATTCTTAAGTGGTATAAGGAACTTAATTGCTTCCTCTAATGGATTTTCTACCTGTTTTAATAAAAACAAAGATAAAGTTAAGCCTAAAATAAATTTCAGAAAAAAAACACAGACTGAAGACAGTTTCCAATATGAAAACAATTCAAACCAGAGACTAAATGTGAACTGCTGATAGCTTTCTGAATTAAAGTGATTCAAAAAAAAAAAATTTATTTGAACACCCAGATCTGAAAACATTTTGTCAACTTCTCATCCTGAAAAAGGCAGCATCACTGGGAAATGTGGTACTGCTGTGTAATTTGATTAGCTATATTAAAATTCAGCATTTAGGAAACAATTAAATATGACCACTTGACAGCAAGCTTGACCTTCAGAAATTGTTCTGATAGAGAAAATAGAATTTGAAGAATTTCTTTGAGGACAGATTCTGTTCCTTTTTCCTTTTTTTACTACACATGAAAACCAACAGAGTAATTTGGGAAGGAATTAGCTTTCGTTCAGTTTCTATTTTAATGAGCAAGCCTGGAATGTTCACAAATTTACAGTAACAATCTCATTATTAATACAAAAATTGAATGATCTAGAAGAAAAATTGTACTTTTCAGTATAAGTAGAAATAGACTTTTTGCATGCACAAATGATTTTGCAAGACTGATGAATTCCTTCCTGTACTACAGGTAATCTTATGGCAATGGCATGAGCTCAACATAAGGAATAACTCCATGCTAACCCTTTCCAGTTTTTCAGGAACTAGCTCTTCCCTGGGTCCACTAGTTTCCTCCTCCTCTTCATCTCGCTTTTTCTTTTGATTCTTTTGTTGTCGTTCTCTTTCTGCATGTTTTCTTTCCTCTTCAAGTTTTGCTTTCTTTTGTGCTCTTCTTTGCTTGCTAAGCATTTTCTTCAGTTCTTTGGCTGAGAGATTTTCTACAGATTAAGGCAGCAAATAATCTGTATTACTAGAGAACTGGTATTCCATTCCACAAAAAAAAAAATCTTAAACATGCAGATGCCACTATGCTTCTTCTCCTGGCATGAAAAATACATACTTTTACAGCAATTTCCTTTCCATTTTTTTTTACACTTGCCAGACTACAGCACTGCATAATCCACTATTACTACTAGATTACTGTTTACACAACACTTTCTTGTGTATTTTTATTAATAAAGTTCTTATATAAGTCTCATCTATATGAAAGGTTAACTACTATGTAAAGTTAATATATCTATACAACAAGTTTTACCTGCGCAAAATAGAAAGTGGTTTTCTCGAAGATAATATTAAGTTCTCCATTCTAATAAGTAGAAACAGCATGACTAACTTACATTCTGTATTAAAGTGTATTATCTTTTATGAGGGTGCCTATGCAATCAATATACAGCCAAGTATATAGTACAGAACAACCTCTATTTTCTGCAGAGTCTAGGGCATAGCTAACTGGACACAATCAAAAACTGTGATATTGTTTGGGGAGGGAGGGAGCTAAAATATTCTACTATATAATAATAGGGCCATTATAAGAGAGGTTGGGTTGCTTGCTGTGTACAGATTTAGACCGTATAACACACAGATGACGAAAAGTGTTTAACAAGCAGTTGTGGGAAAAGTGAAACATGATTGAGCAGAATGAAACTTTCCTGCAAAACCATGTAAAAGCGGGGAACCTGCAGCCTTCCCATTCAGCCCCATCTCTCTCTTCCTTGCTGTCACATTGATCTGACTTGTTTTGCTGGATTAACACCAGTTTCTGCCAGTCTTTAGTGCTTCAGTGAGAACTTGAACTGTGCCAATGATGCGGGCATGGAAGAGAAGAACGTGCTACTGGGGACTGATGCATCTTTTTGGAGCTATGATGGCATCACTTATCTCCACCAGGCCTGTGCTGGGGCCATCCAGTGTCCTGAGATAGGGAAGTGAGGAAAAGCAGACCCCTTCTTCACCCCAGCACCACAGTGCTGTGTTTCCCTATGGATAAATCTACCTAACTAACCCCAGTTCAGAACACTTGAATAAGTGACATTACTTTTAAGGTTCTTCCTCTCCTAGGAAGAACTTTAATGGTCTTGTCATACACGTATCTTACATTACATACAAAAAAAAGTCTAAATGAAATTGAATAAGAGAATGCCAACTGTATCGTGCTGTGTATATGCCTGTTTTTATATACCTACATACATGACAAATACAGAAATATTTATTATTTATCTCTGAAGGAAAGATAAGATTTCCCTGGTAATATTAAGGGTTTAGTGTAACTTGTTTTCCCCATGTCAACTCTCCTTCCCTTTACAAGTAGCCATATATGAATTTTGTCCCTTTTATCAACATTTTCTGAGTGTTGCAGTGATTGTATAACCTTAAATATGGCACCAGTGACAGCAACTAGGAAATGCAATTATTTAGCTTAAAAGAAACAAAGAACCAACACATTTACAATGTTCTCAAACTTATACACTACGCAAGGGATTTTCTAAGAAATTACGCTTTACATTTAATAGTAGTTTCACATGATTTCTCAAATATATTAATCTTGCTAATATATACTTTAGGACTTAAATCACACAGATGTATATGAAAAAATTATGAATTTTTATATGTGGAAAAAACAATAAATTGCTATGCAGTGCTCTTGCATTGCTGGATTATAGGTGAATTAAATACATTTGATCAAAACCCAATTCTTACAACAACTCGGATTGCTTTCCCATGAATTACACCTACTAGGTTCGTAATTATTTTTTATGACACTTAACTATCTCTTGGTTAAATGAACCTTTGATAAATGGCTGTATTCAGCTGAACTCTTCCTCCTTAGATGCTGAAATGCCACGCTTTCCCAAGCATTTCAACTATACTAGGTTCATTCTTGCACCAGTTTTACAAGATGGTGAGACGAGAACAGTACAGAGAAGGACGTAACACGTTATCCATGATCTCTTTTCAGTTGCTAATCAAGCTGTAGAGAGCCAGAAAATGGAAAATCTTGTGTACAACCATTACTGATTCTACAGCACATAGCTATGTAAGTTTATATTTGTATCAAACATGAGCGTCGATTACGGTTTAGGTACCTGAATTCACTTCTTGTTCTTTACTTTCATTAGTAAGAGGATTATCATGTAGCTTCAAGTAGATTTCAATTGCTGAACGAGCAGCCTTGAAATAGAAGGTATGTTTCCTGAGCACATCTTCTAATCTCAAAAGGTCTACGTAGGCACGGAGAGTCATCTTTCTCATGCAGTATGTGTGGAAGTCAAATTGATCATCTGTTATTTCAAAAAAATGCTTTAAAGAAGAAAACAAATAAAAACGTCTTAGGCATTGCCCTGGCTTACTTCACCTCCATTTAATTAAAAATGGATAATAAAGTAACAACTGACAGTTATTTACAGACGATATTGAACAAGCATAGGAATATTCTGAAAATACTGATTGTCCAAGAGAGGCTGTAATCGGGGAAAAACACACGCAGGAAATTCTCCTTTTGTTCACAAAAACTAGAATATTATTAAAAGACACTTAAAAACACCAAAATGTGATTGTTCTGATAAAAACAATTGGCAAGACATCCATACAAAAAGTCCATGTACAAATTGTTTTAGGCACGAGATGTGACATTTTATGCTCAATCTTTACTTCAAGTAACAATTTTACAAATAATAGCAAGGAGATCTAGTATACAGAATATTAAAACATTGATTTCTAACCTGTTTTAAAAATTATTTTTATTCTGGAAATTTTCTATACGAAAAAAGTCACGCTGATCACATCAGCAAGTATGTTAATTAACATATAAGAAATATTGGAGGAAAATACCTACTTACCCTTTCTACTTCATGGCATTTTTTCAAGGCATCGCCGTACTTCCCTAGCCTTTGATAGGCTGCAGCACATTCAGTCTGGAACCACATGCACTGCATCTCATTCAGGTTTTCCATAGCAGATGTCCCTTCCTGAAATAAGTGTCACTATCACTTTTTGTCATTACAATTCAGCAGCTTCTCCTTTCAGGTCTGACTACTAGTTTCAGTTGTAGGATTGTTTCCTCCTAACAGCCTACTTGGAATACAACACAAATCAGCTGAAAACTCCCAACTACTGAGAGCAGCACCTGTAAAGAGTCTTATGCTCCTGAAAACACACACAAGGAGATTTAAAACTCTTGATAAATTATTATCTGAACCGGTTAAGTCTCTCTCCTTTCTCTCTTTCAGTTAACTCGTGCTTATACAGGCACTGCTAGTTTTATAACTTGAAAGCAGAAAATACGGTTTCTGAAAATCGTAATATTTAGCTAACTTTTTTCCCCTTTGTTAGAGAAGTTGCATCCACTAGCCTAAAAACCCCAAAAAACACTTATTGTTTTGTCCTGTAGCCTGAAAACTTGGTTTAGTCTTTTTTTTTTTTTAAGAACTTTTTACCTAGTCTAAATAACTAAAATTAGAATTAAACTTTACATAGGAGGAGGACATAAGAGGTGAAAGAGATACCTGTGATTTTTTTCTTTACAATTCCAATGTTCTAGATCAAGAACAATTAAATTGAAAGCCAAGTAAACATTATCAAGAATGCTGACCACTAGATGCTCGAAGCAGTTTTTAGTATTAGAGAGAAAAAAAAAAAAAAAAAACTGTTCCATATGCTTTTAATTTTTCATATAAATTGTTTAAGAAGGGATTTTTCCTATTTTACTGTAGGTACCTATGCTAAGGTTGTGTTTCTTGCTGTGGCAGTTCAGCCACACATGTTGAATTCCAGTAGTTAAATTTTCAAAGTTTTCTTCTAATAACCAGAAAGCTCTGATTCACTTTTATGTGTTTCTCACTTGAAATAAAGAAGAATTAGGGAGTTCAATCTATGCATGTGCATCAGGAAATCTCACCAACTAGCTGTCTTCATATTTAGTTACATAAATATTATGGAATCATGAGCTATCTAAAGTTTGTTCAAAGTCAAAATGATTATATAATTTAAAGTGCTTATCATGCACTGTAAGAATTGATTTTCTTCATGAAATTTTATTCTAGAGCACTAGAGAATGAAATGCTCCAGGCCAAGTTACATGTATGTTGAAGTTAAATCATAACAGATATATAGCTTCCACATTCCTGTGCTGTTAGCTCAGGCTGGAAAACAGCAGGCTTTGCACAGTATCTATGAGACATGTTTCTAGAGAGGTACTTAAAATTACGGCACTGCAAAAATATTTCTGGAAAAGCAATTTTGTACAACTATTCAATATTTACTGGGTCTCTACATATAGTTACTATCAAATGCAAGTTATGATAAGCATTTCTTAGCAATGCACATTTTTTTTTACATAGATAAAATTAGAAAAGTAAAAAATAGAGCAGAGGTAAACAAAGGAATTCTTTTCATTAGCAATCTACCTTACCCTAGTGAATTTAGAACACATCTCCTCTGCATCTTTCACCATATTTGCCCGCAGCATGTATTTTGCACATTTAGAATTGATAAATCTGTCTGCAGTATCCAAAGACTGTGCTTCATCCATCCATTTGGCAGCTTCCTTGAGATTACCTACATGCTATTAGAGAGAATGCGAAGAGTTAACTTTTGGTATAAACCTGATTTTGACTTCAACACTGAAATCTACAGTTAGTGGTATTTCTCCACTAAAAACATAACAAAACTGCTGTACTTTTATTTCTCTCTCCTTCTCAACACCCTCCAAGGATTTTTTCAAAATAACCATTTGCCACAAGTTGTGACTTTCTCTGCAAAATCTAACAAAACAAAAGGGTTTCCATTTTCTTGCTAACAAAAAAGTGCACATAAAAAATCCCACGCCAGACCAATGCCCACAATCCTTGCAGAGTAAAAAAATAACTATCCACACATTCACACTAGTTTAATATAATTTAATAGGATCTTTTTTTAAAAAAAAATATTTACTCCAAAAGTCTAAGTGAGCTTTTTACCTTGTAAATTTTTGCTTTTAAATAGAACAGTTCTATTAATGTTGGAGTGCTTGCAATTGCAGCATTAATGTAATCCAAAGCCAAAGAACACTGGCCAAGTTTGTCAAAGTGCTGCGCGAGGAAATACCGAACCCAAAGCAGTGTCGTTGGGGGCTCTTTTTCTCCATTTTCTGCAACAAAGCACAAAATTACAGTAACCTGTAAGGCTGAAGACGTCATTGGAAAAACATAGACAAAGAAAGCACAGGAAAAATTTAGCAAGTATTTGCAGTTATGTAGTCACTTACCAAAAGCTGTAATGGTTATTTTCTTGCAAAAAACACAGCAGCACTCCAACAATTACTGCTAACTGCTTTAAAACAGTATTAGTATCCATAGTACAAATTAACATAAGTTTATAGAAACTTACCACATGAACTAAAAAGGTCACAGGTTTTCAAGGAGGCTTCATAACCAGTAACAAGTTCTTGGATTGTAGAAACCTACATATAAAAAAAAGTATCAACTTAAAATATTTGCCATAAAAAGTATCAACTTAAAGTAGTTATCATTGTATATAGATAAATTAAAAAATATATCACTAAAATATTGGACAAATTTAAGAATAGTAAAATGGTTGCTTTAGAGCAATAATTGAGGTATACGCATATAGTTCACTTTTCACAAGCTGGCTTTGATCTCCTATTTAAATGATACAGAAGGAAAACAAGTATCACTATTTTCAGCAATAAGCTGTTAAGAATTAAGTGCATTTGATCTGTAACCTTCAAAACCTGTATGTACTGGAGGGAGGCTGGGGGAGGGAGAAGAGGGAAGGTGGGCCTTTTTCTTCCCCCAAAGATATTTTCTTTTTACGAATTAAAGCAATTAATAAAGATGTCAGAGAAGACTAAGCATAAACTTCTCATAAATAATATAACATAGAAAAGACTTATCAGCCAGCCAGAAAAACAGATGAACACTACTACAGAAAAATTTTATGTTGTTAAGAAGGTATTGCTAGCTAGAATACTGGGTGCATCCTCTTACATTACAAAATAAGAGGAAACAAACACACTTGACTGATTTAAGGCTAATACTTTCTGAAATTAGACCTTGTAAATGATCTCACTTGGAGATCACTGCAAGATGGAAGACCCAAAATTTAGTTTTGAACACACATCGTACAAGTTTGACATGAACAATAGGAATGTTGGTATCTGTGCACTGTATAGCAATGAACTGTTCCAGTTCATCATTTCACATATGCCTGCCAAGTCTAGCAAGTAACCTGCTTCTCAAGGAAACCAGAAGAGAACTAAAAAGAAATTTATGATACATGTTTGCATATATACATACATATATATACTTAAGTTGCTGGAGGGACTTAAAGTGAGATCTTGGTGCAAGCATAGGAATGACTACATTCACCTACTAGTTTTTTTTTTTTTTTTTTTTTTTTTTAAACTAACTATGGATTTCACCTAAAGCTTCAAAAGAAAACACGAGCCTATGTGGAAAGAAAAAGTTAGTCGCAAGAATAAATCCATAAATATTGGGGAGAGTCAGCAAAATTAGAAAAAAAAAAAAGGTAGGATTTGATAAAGCATGCAACACCGCTTAAAGATACATTTCTTATGGGCGGAAAATAAACCATTCCGTTTCCAATCTGACAGGTACTACTTCATTTAACCTAATTCCACGACGGACAAGAAATGTGGAATGTTTGTTGCAAAGAGCAGAGAAGTTGACTTGTTCCAGTCTCACATAGCCAGCACAGATGTCTCAAGAGTGTAATAAAATTTATAAATAGACATGCTCATTCTGGACAGCTCTGGGTAATCATTAGAAATACTAATTGAAAAACCTCTCATCAAGTATATAAAAGTATTACTAGACTTCAAGTAATTTCCTAACAATAAGGAATTGTTAAGATGACAGGAATAAACAGACACCTGGCAAGTAACTAGACTGCTTCTCTGTGGCCTCACAGATTTGCTAAAAGAAGCCTTCAACATCCTCATAAAAATCCTTGAGAAGTTTTTCCTCTAAAATGAATTCAAGCACTGAAGCACTCCTCTCTTCAGAAAGCAGCCTTGCAGCACATACATACAACAGGAGCAGCTCTATCTCCTTGCTGCTTTCCCCTACAGCTCCACAGCACGCCCAAACTTACCCTCCTCTGGCGGCTAACAAACTCACACTGCTGCTGCAGTCAGCCAGCTTTGCTAGACTGAAAACAAACCACAGGGAAACGGGAAAGAAAAAAGCCCCACACTTCATTTCTCACAAAGCAAACCCTGAGCACCAGCGCCAGGCGCTGCACAACGGAAGAACCGCGCGCATTCAGACGGGCAAGGGCCCCGCGGCCACCAAGGGCAAGGCCTTCCACCCCCGGGGCCCTCGTGGTGGCCCCTGCAGCGGGTCAGGGCTGCGAGTGGTTCGGTGCTCTGCTCCACCCCGCTGTGCAGACACCCACTCCCAGCATACGGGGGAGACGGGCAATGAGCTGAGCTGGGCCAGGGAGGCAGTGGGAAAACTGTTCTGGCTTGCAGGTCACAGAATCACAGGATGGTTGACGTTGGAAGGGACCTCTAGAGATCATCTAGTCCAACCCCTCTGCTCCAGCAGGGACACCTAGAGCACGTGGCACAGGGTGGCATCCAGGGGGGTTTGG